GTCTGTATATGTGTATGCGATGGTATGTGTGCTGAGTCTCATCATCAATTCAGTTGATAATTATTTTTACGCGACGCAGCAACTCCATTAAAAATGCAAATGGCAACACTTTGCCACTTTGATGCCGTTGCCAGTGTTGTCACGTTGCTGTTTTATTAATTTATTAAATTAAAAAACAAAACGTAGAAGGCAAGTAGTAACGGCAACGACAGCAGCAGAAACAGCAGCAGTGGCAACGGCAGCAGGAACATCAACTTCATCGGTAGCGCATGTGTAATTGTAAATTTATGACAAGCAATGAGTGACAGATAGAGAGAGACGCATGGAGAGATAGGGTGAGAGCGACAAAGATAGCAATTGCAAAAAAGGATGGCAAAGAGTTGAAACAGGCGCCATGCCGCGCACTGTCAATTGTACTACATGAATTATTAATTATTTGTTTTCACACACACACGAACGGCCGACATATTCCCTCACATAGCAGGGCACGCACTTACGCAGTGTTGCATTGCGGCAAAAAAAAAAAAAAGAAGACAGACAGGTACACTGGACGTTGTCAGTTCATTTTTTTGACAGCCAAGAGCTCGGCATGAAACGCAATCACCAATGTACAGTTGCTTTTGCTCCGCCCCCGGGAGTTTGCCTAATATAATTATTAACCAAAATGCGCAAATCGAGAAATTCTTCTAAGCGCGCACTCTTGCTCTAGGTCTGATTGCTAATAAAAGCCAAATTAACTTAATCTAATTAGCTGTCACGCATTATTTGCGACGCCCAAGCGGCAACAACGAGGACTACGTAGACGATTAGGTTGATAAAAATTAAAAGCAATGCGTTGAAATAATTCAGCTGCTTCAATTTTTCTTCTTTTGCCATTGCGATGCCATTGCCCAACCACCAACGAACCAAAAATGTCGCTCCCCCTACGGCCATTCCCAATGCGTAGGTAGCTGGGTAGGTAATGTGAGCAGAGGTAGGCCGACCAACCCCGCCGTGACCCACACACACACACACTTACACAGACTTACATACATACTCGTATATACCCATCAGTCGTCCCACAGAAGCAGCAGCAACTTATTTATTGTGCATGCCCTGGGGAACACGCCAGAGAACGAGACCCACAACGACACCAGACCGAGATGATGTACAGTGGTGAACAATTTTATACTCGATTCTATTATATGATGCTTTTAAATATGTAGGCAAGCGATATATTGAATCTTCAAGGTATCATCTCCTGAAGATAGATTCGAAAAACTAAAAGCTTTGTCAATGGAGCTAAAATTGATAATTCTATGCACTCATCGGTTTTTGATAAACTTTTTCCGCTCACTCATTAAATACCTTATATATTATATCTAATTCTACTTAGTTAGTAGAAAAGGTCTTATAACCTGAACTCTTTATTGTTAACTTATAATAGAAACACACAAATTTGTGATCCATTTTTTTTCGATATTTCAAATACATGAATGGCTTCTCAATGTCATTCGTGTACACTTAAATATATGATGTATTATACACGTATTTCATATTGGCTCCATTATTCCCACTTGCAAATCAAAATTTTAGATTATTTCAAATCATTTTACAATATTTCTGGATCGAGTTAGCACACGATGTAACGGGCTTGATTTTGACTTTGTTTGTCACACAAATCAACAAGAACTCTGTAAAATGATTTAAAAGCATTGTTGAGATAAAATACAATTGTAGTTTAGAATAAATATAATTTCAATTTTCCCAAAATTCGCCACAAATTGTCTGCAAAATAAGATGCCAATGAATTAGAATTTTGTCCGCGTAGTCGGGAAATATGGCCTACTGTTCGACGCACATACGTATTTTGCTATTTTCCTTTTCTGTATGTGAATTATTCAGCTTTCAATCGATGAAGCCGTTGCTAAAACCAATGCCATCCTCTTTTTTGTGGGCTAACTCCCCTCTTTACTTGCTGACAGTTTATTTGGCAAATTGCTTGCATGTAATATGAAACTTTACTGCTTTTTTTTGCCGTAGCCAGGCTAATTTTTAGTTTGCCAATGAGTCAGCTGTAGCTAACACAGAATACACTATAAAGTAAAGATATGTGTACGTGTGTGTGTGTGTGAGTGTGTATGGTGTGTGTGCTAAATCGAAAATCTGAAACACGCGTCACACGTTCTGCCAGCCCGCATGGGCCACTAATACAGCATGACTCACTGATTTTTCACGTGGATGGCTGAGCTGAGGCCGAGGCTAAGGTTATGCTTATCAGCCGATTCGCATCTAATGCATTGAAAGCCACCCCTTTGGACAGACACCCCCCTGCTCTGCTGACCATAAAGCAGAGGGGCGAAAAATGAAGAGGAAGAAAATTTAAAATTGTAAAATCTCTATGCCGCAATACTCGTCGGGCAAATAAATCTAATTAGAATATGTGCGCAATATCTGAATATGCACGAAAGGTCTCTGGCAACTCATTTCATATGCTCGCCGCATCTGGTCGCTAAATATTGCCAGTGCCAGAGTACCAATGCCTTGGCACCGTCATTGGCGTCTTTACGTCTGGGTAATAAATTTGATTTGTTTCAAATTACAGAGCAAGGCAATATAGAATTTTTCGTAATCTCATCCTCTCCTCTGCTTCTGTTGCTTCTTTTTTGTTATGTTGGTTGCATTTTGTTAAGCCGCCAAATCGAATCTTACTTGTGGTTACTTTTTTGTGGGTAATTTCAATAATTTACATAAGCAAATCAAATTGTAAATGTAATTTGGAAGCAGGGGCCGTAGCAGCATCAGTTTCTTTGTATTTGCGCCCAAAATGGGTCGCACTCTGTCGAAAAAGAACTATGTCGAGTGTTGAAAACGCGCCAGCCTTTCACGATATTTCTTCTTTTTTTTTTTTTTTTGTTATCCTAGCTTTGGTTGCTTTGGCAAGTGACGAAAAATGTGTCAACTTCAATGAGTTTCTTTTTCACGTCGTGTGAACCTTTCAATGTGTGAGTGAGTGACAACGCGCCTTTTGTATTTCGCAACTGAAAACGCAATGCGTCAAAGAATTTGGCTCAAGTGGTACTTGGGCCCCACTGGGGTACAAAGCCTTTAGGAATATGCTGAAAGTTGACGGCAAAACAAAGCTTGCTGCTTGCGGTAAATAATAATAAAAAGAGTTGACAGACATAATGTTAGCTTACCAACACCTTTACTACACAAATTACTTTCACGAACAAATCTACAATACAGCAACAATAATATCTACAAGTATGAATCAGAAGACCCCTCATCGTTTAGTTCTGCAAACTAGGAAGGAAAGAAAAAATATAATTAAATAACTTTAGTTATGTAATTTCTTTCCCTATACCTGTATGTTGCAATGTCATACTACAGTATAAAGTCTAAACACCAAACATACTACCAATAACTTTTGAATCATACAAGCTAGGCACATCCAACATGGCATGCAGACTAGTATTTTAAATACGCAGATCAATTGTCGTAAGCAAATTTGAAACTTTTGAGATATTTACAAACCCTTAATATTATTTAATGCTTCCTATTGTTTTCCGGCATCTATCCTAGATAAATAACAAATATAACAAGTACATACATATATTTAGTATAATTATAGAAATTAAGAAAATTAAAATGAAAATTTTGATTGATTTTACCTCTTTCGGTATTCGAACTCACGTGTATACAAAGCAATTGTGTCTATTTGGGTGTATGCATGTCTATACGTGTCAATTCGTGTCTATCTATGAGTGCATGTTTGCAGCTGCTGGTAGCGATTGGGGAGCAATTATATTTATAGCTATAGGTTCCTATCATAATGAAACTTGGCACACGGACACATAATCAGTAACTGGGGGCATTTGCCAAATTTGGTTCGGAAATTACGGGAGTTATGGAATATCACTAACTACCTTGGAGAGGAGGGAGGGAGGTAAATTGAAAAATACACAATTTCTGCGTATTCATATAAGGTATCTTGGTATAAAATTTGGTAAAATAGGTGATTATACGAATGGCGAAAATCCCCCATAGGTGGGAAGTGGAGGGGACATAAAAAAATAAGGCATCTTTGTGCAAAATTTGGTGTCTCTAGCTCTAGCTTATAGTCTTTGACTTGACACTTGCTCATACGGACAGACGGACAAACAGACATAGATTCACAGTTACATTTTTCAGCTAGCGTAAACCAAATATATACTCTTGTACATTTCATATAGAGAGTATAACAAGTAAGCACGAATGTTTCATTTCCAGTCATCAAATACGGATTCTAGATTGAAATAACCACAAAATACTAAAATCTAATAGCCCTTAGTAGATTTTAAAAAGTTATCGATAAAACAGCAGAAGAGCTTTACGTTATCCGTGTGCTGCTGCTTTTGCACACAGCTACCAACACTGCTTGCATCTATTGTGCTATTAGTTTGCAATACATTGCAACACTGTCTCGTAGACTGACAAGTGACCTATGAAAAAAGGAAGTGAGCCCGTTGTGCTATTGTTGAAGTATTGCGGAAAATTTTTGGCTTTTGGTGGAATAATACTATTAGCAACATCTGAGATGGCAAAAATCCAATTACTATGTTAATAATGAACAAAATGAATATAAATTACGCGTTGAAGTGAAAATTTGTGCAATATTATCGAGTGACGTTTCGCTTGGGGCACACGCAGAAAATTCCAGTCATCTCGAGCGGACAAAAAAAAAAAACTCGGCAAGCGGTGATAATTTCTTTCGACTTCACTTATTTTTGTCAATTATTTGCTTTTTTAAGCACAAAAGGAACACACAAGTATCAAGCAATTTGGTTAACCACACGCCCATTTAGATAATACAGAATTGTTTGGGTTGAAAATTCTGTAATTGCGTCTAACATAGAACTATATGTCGTTCCTTGTCGTAGTTGGCCGCAAGTAGCAATGTCAACTGCGCTGGCAGCGGCGACAAGTGCAGCTAGCACGGCGACGACGACAACAACAACGACAGCGGCAGCAGCGGCAGCATCTGCAGCGGTGGCAACGGTGACGGTAGCGGCATTTGCAACAAATTCAGCAACAACAACAACCGCATCAACGAGCACGTCTATAACAACAGCGTCTGCGCCACCGATAGCGGTAATAACAAGCACTGCCATTGGAAAAATGCCAACCAGCGCTCCAGCTGTAGCGGTGACAGTAACGCCTGAAACGCTGCTGAGCGAAAACAACAGTATCAGCACCACCACCCTGATGGATGCGATGTCAACGTCAACTAAATTCCAGCCGATTTCGGAAAATAGTGAGTTGAGCTTTATGCCAAGTAAGGATTGCGAAACCGAATCCCTATCCGAAGATCAGCCGGAGGAAGTAGCTGTTGATGATAGCAGATCGGGTAATCCGTTGCTAAACACATATCCGCGTCCGCCCGGCGGCTACAAGTACTCTATGGAGTTTCTCTATAACATTGGCCGAGATCTGGCGGGCATAACGCTTAACATACCTACTCCAACGTCTATAACGCCTCGTAAGTTGCGTACTGAACCCCCACCACCACCGACCCACTTGCCTCTCTTGCCGAATGCCATAAGTGGTGGCAGCACAGCCGCACCGCATACTTCGTCGGGCGCCAACTCGCCCATTGATCGCTTTGCTGGCGGTGGAGGTGGCAGTGGTGGTGGCATCGCTGGACCAGGAGGTGGAGGTAGCAGTGGCAACATATCGCCCGTGCAATTCATCTATTCGGGCTACATGCCTAGTGCACCGCAGCGGCGATTGTGGCATGCGGAGAATGCCGTATGGCAGTTTGATCGCAACTATCCATTTAATCAAGGCTACGCCTCGCAATATGGTATTCCGTTGATGCCGCTTGGCTTTGACCATCCATACAGCACACCACAACGTTTCATTTATCCGGGCTATTACAATCAAACTGGAGGTGGAATACATGCATCCGGACCGGGCATGCCACGCTCCAATCGTCATACAGCTCCATCTACAACTTCGTCGACAAATATGCCAAGTAGTCAGTCTGCTCAGCAGCAGCAGCAACAACAGCAAGCGGAGCAAGCGGCGGAAAATTTTAACAACGCGGGCGCCGGCAATGGGCATCAGAGCCATTGCAACTATGGTGGCGTGAATACCGCCTATGGGCGTCCGTATCGCGAACGCTATGGTAGTAGTCCCACAGATCTGGGCGGCGCGTTTCACCGCGAGTCGAAGACTTTCTATAATAGCTCTGCGGCCAATGGTGCAGTTGGAGGTGGAGTGCGATTCAAGCAGTTTGAACCGCGTGGGAGTGGTTCCTATCAACCGCGCTATCAGCAGCCGAACGGTAGTGAGCACAGCAGTGTCAATGGTCGTGGCTACAAGTATCAAAACTATTCCCAGGATCGTCTAAGTGAGAAGCGATCCAAGGGACATTTACTTAAAGAGCGCTCATCCAACTCATCCGGCTCGCTGTCCACCTCGTCCTCCAAGTCCCAAATGGAGCGCGCTGTGCGTCCCATAAACGAGGAATGTAACTCGATCAACTCACCTGGAACTGGTGGCACGCGCCACCCACAGCGCAGCTATCGCAACCGTGTGCGGTACAACGATCTCCCAAACGGTGCAGAGGACAAGACGTCGCAGCACCGCATCAGCGTTCCTATAAGCAGCGGCAATCAGGCATCGCTGCGTCGCCTATCCAAGTTCTCGGATGTGCGCAGCTTTCAGCCACAGTCGCGACAGCATCAGCACTCGCGCTACTATCAATCGCGCAACATGGAGAACTTTAACTATCAGCACTTCCTAAACTATCAACAACACGCTGGAGGTGGTGGTGGTGGTGCTGGCGGAGGCAGTTGCAATGCCGCTACTGGTGCTATGGATCCGTCCGATGCGGCAGGCGGCATAGGGGCCACTACTAGCGCTACATCAGAAGGAGAGCAAGTCGGCCTGCATCCGGACTATGAGCAACGAAATGGCAAATTTTCGGATGCCATGGAGACCACATCGAATACAGATTTTGTTCTAGATGATCTCCATTCTCATGTCTGCAAGCAGGAGAACTCCGACCAGGATGTTCGCCCCACAATGTCACATGCCAGTTCCATATGCGGCGACTATGATGATGGTCAGTCCTATGCAAGCATAGCACCCAGTTCCCCCAGCGAGAGCTCGGACAGTGAGTTAAGTGACGCATCCGTTGAGTCCTTGGTGCGCCAAATTACGGTGCAATGCATGGCTACCGGGGCAGGCGCTCAGGTCCCGAATTTGGATGGTCCAAATTTGGTGCCCTATGGCGATATGCAATACCTGAAGGATTGTGAACGAAAGCCTAAAAATGGCTACAAATACTCGTCGCACGGAGAGAGTGAGAAGAGTGATTATAAGCCAGAACCATCGATACCTGATAGTGTGATCAATCTTGCCAAAATAATTGCAGCTGTGGCCGCCGACAAATCTCATGAAGATGCGGGAATAGATATTGACAAGGATGACTTATCGCTGGCATCTATTTTGTCTGGTACGGCATCGCTTTGTTCCTGCAAGGGTACTGTAAGCGCCTCTGGACGAGCCAATATAATAATGGTAAGCAATCGTTGAATAGAAACTATGTATACCCTTCACATCAGGTTTGTCTGTTTATCTGTTATTCAAGCTGTAATGCTTTTGTTAATCACAATTAGTGTTTCAAGCTTTACGGCAATCAAAAAAGAATTAATATTTCATGTTGATCTGGAGTCTTCAAAGTATATTTTTATAAATAGTTGTGAAGGGTATTCATTTGTATGGTCGGCTAGGCAGAATATGTATACGATTTTATCATGTTGGTACTATTGCCTGCACATCCCTCAGGACGATGTGTATGAGGACGAGCTACCAAGCATCATGCATAATCGCTATTTGCATGGCTTTTTTGGATATACGCCCGCTGATCGCTTTCTGCAACGCGCTGATCTAGTGGAAATGAAGCGGCCTCCCCGCTCAATGCCCAGCCGTGCTAAGTGGGAGCCCTTAACACTGGGTATATGGAAGAAATTTTTGGAATCGCAACAAACGCGCACTATTTACAAGACAAAGATGAGATTATGGCGTTTTATCTACACAGTAACCATGGTAAGTGGTGATTGATGCCGTTCCCCCTTTGTTTTAAAACATCATTTATTAAATAGGCTACATATCCACGTTATGGCCTGTATCTGGTGGGATCGTCAATATCTTATTTTGGCTCAAAATGCTCGGACATGGACATTTGCATGCTGGCCTGCACAAATCCCAACATTGATCCGCGCATGGAGGCCGTCTATCATTTGCAGCTAATGCGAGGTCTTCTCAAAAATACCAACGTATTTAAGGACTTCAATTTGATTGAGGCTCGAGTGCCAATACTGCGCTTCACCGATCGGCGTCGCCAAGTTGAGGTCGACATTAATTTCAATAACTCTGTGGGCATTCGAAATACGCATCTGCTCTACTGTTATTCGCAGTTGGAATGGCGCGTGCGTCCCATGGCAATTACCATTAAGCAGTGGGCTCAGTTCCATAACATCAATAATGCCAAGAACATGACCATCTCCAGCTACTCGCTGATGCTCATGGTCATACACTTTCTGCAAGCGGGTGTTAGTCCTCCAGTGTTGCCCTGTCTGCATAAATTGTATCCTGAGAAGTTTGCTTTCATGCAACCCTGCGACTTCGGCTATGTGGACATGAATGAGGTTATGAATCCGTATCCGTCGGAGAATGTTCAGACCTTGGGTGAGTTGTTGCTAAACTTTCTGCACTACTACAGTGTCTTTGAATATGGAAAGTTTGCGATATCGGTGCGTGTGGGTGGCGTGCTGCCGATAGAGGTGTGCCGAGCATCCAAGGCGGCCAAAAACGATGTTCACCAATGGAATGAGCTGTGCATTGAGGAGCCCTTCGATCAGACCAATACTGCACGTTCGGTCTATGATCCGGAGACCTTCGACCGCATCAGAGCCATCTTTCAAGCATGCTATCGACGTTTGGAGTCGACCCGAAATCTAGATTCAATATTCGATGGCTATGATGGTCCGACCATTCTGGCACACCCATCGGTTGACTCCGATGCCGAACTGGATCGCAAGTTTCCCAGTGAAAAGTCATCGAACTCGAACAGTGAGCTAGCATCCCCCAGGTATCTGAAGTCCATGGTTGATAAGTCGGTGGTGGCTCTGTGGAACGATATTGGTGATAAGCAGCAGGCTTCGACCTTGGAGCAAAAAGTGAAAGAGGTGGAAAATGAAAGTGCCGACAAATTAAACGATTTGGAAACCTCGGAGACTAAAGCACGCGATACATTAGTAAACAACACAACAGCCCACCTACCAACTACAACTACACCGACAACGACAACAACATCAACCAGCACCATCACAAACATAGGCTCAGCCAATGTTAAATCTGTGGCCGAGCCACATGAAGGCATAGGCCTTCGCCAGAATATATAGAAACAATCTAAATGAGCTGCTTTTGGGAATCTATCTCAAGAGTCTGTGCCTTTAGACAATTGCAAAAGCTGAAGTCCAAAAAAAATTTTCGATGTTTTAATGCAGTTGATAAACGTAGTTGCTGAGGTTGCGCCAAGCTTACACTTTTAAATTTTACGTTGGATAATTAAATAGGAAATTTACATTTAGAAGATTCTGAACTTAATTGAACCATTCACAAAACAAGTATGCTCAGTCGTAGCAGACCAATGGAAAATACATAAAACATCTACTAAATACACGGTCGCAAAAAAAGCACTAAAACCTGCAAAGGCACAAAGAATTAGTTGATAACTTTAGCGCAAACAAATACAAAAATATTAAAAATATAAACACAAACAAAAAATAAAATTAACATAAAAATTAAAAAAAAAACAATAAAACAAAAAAAAAATCTAAAAATATTAAAACTAGTAAAAAAGCAAAAAAAAAAAATTATAGTAGTATAGCTAAGTATAGCATAGCTAAGTAGGGCTGTGGAAGCCCAACGCTAAACACATATTTTTTTATACATCATTTTATACTTCCCCATACACGAACAAAAGACACACAAACATAATGTATACAATATTACACAAATGGAACATAAACACATATTTTACACTTTTTTATAAAAAACCAACAAAAGTCATTCAAAAAAAGGCGTATGTGTCTTGTAAAACATGTAAGGAAGCTTTAAGACGTTTATACGTTGAAAAAATTTAAGCAAATAAAAACAAGGCGACGCCAAGTAAGAGATTTTAGTGTTGGGTGGAGCAAAGGGTGCTTTTAAATGCCTTTTCATAGCATTGGGGTAACCATTACTCTGCTCACCTGTGCTGCTCATTGCTCTCAGATGACGCAGCTGCTGTTAATGCTAAAAATGTATCGGCTAAGATATTCGATTCCATAAAGGAAAACTCTTTTAAGCAATCATTTTGAATAAAGACTTATATAATTGTTTATGCAAATACCAAGTCAATACATAATGGTACCACATATGAAAAATAGAGACACTTTTCATTATTAATTGGTGTTCTACAGGCTTTGAAAGTTGAGTTGCAATGAAAGCTGTGCCGAGTGAAACCTCAGATCCAAGCTTATAGTCATAGTCCAGATTTCGCGTAAATCTTCAACTATACCACCAATTCGAAAATACTTATTTAAAAATTGAAAATTATTATAACTTCAGTACTACACACTTCCTAACTAAATATGTATTAATATAGCTGAAAAAAAAAACCAAAAGTTCAGCTTGGTAGAGAACTTCACTGTTAATGAAAGCATAATTGAGACATTTTATTCCATTTGCGTGCCACCCTTGGGCGCAACAAAATGTGTCCACATGCGAAGCCCAAAATTATCGAACCAAAATCAAATTCTACGCATATGGCGACAGCTGTCGTTGCTGTACTCGTAGTGTTGGGTGGTTTAGTCCGGCGATGGGCGTGCCAGGACAATTTGTAGCACGCATCTGTGCATAGGCCAGTCCGCCAACAACACCTCATCTATCAGTCGTTTCAATGCAAACCAAAAATGTCACTGCGAAAATTATTTCATCAATTTCAATGCTCAATTTCAATGCCACAAAATGCACTGACTGTGTTGCAAGTATACAAGTATACGAGTACACATACTCCTATACGAGTATGTATTGTACGTGCGGTGGTTGACACAGCGGGCGGCAGCATCGGCTGTCAATGGTATCTGTCCGAGTGTCATTTTGGTATTGAGTAATTGATATAACGCCAGCATCAGCAACACATAAACGATACACCGCCATTCAACTCCAACTCCGGCGGCAAATTTTTGTTCAGACTAATATTTCGGCGACTGTGCTCTAATGTGTAAATTGTCGAAGAGCGCAGGAGGGTTTTTGTCCTACGTGCTAGCATTGGCATAATCATCATTATCATTAACGGAACACATGAACGTGTGTAGGGAGGTGGGTGTTTCAACTGCAGTTGGATTGCAATTGTTACACTAATTTGTGCATATGTAGAAATTTTTGGCAATTAAAACGAATCGTTGTCCTGCATCTCCTCTGTGGTGTCATTTGTATTCGTCGTTCCTGATATTCTTAACTAAGGGTGCACATTTTGGAATTGGGTCCATGTGTAATTAATGTAATCGGCACACCATTGTTAATGCCGACACAATTTGCATTCGCAGTGGAAGCCATTTACACAAAATTCTAACTACTAAGTATTATATTTGCTTATCAGAGGGATGAAAAATATTTGAAATAATTAATACATATATCCTGATGAAACGCAGTCGATGTAAGTGACAAAAGTGCACCTCACTATTGCTAGTGATTAACTGTAAAATTAAATGCATACTATAACCCGAATGTTTTTGCAAAAGATATCATATATATAAAAATGAAAGTGTATACATATGTATGTTCCCTATATAGTCTGAAACAGCTCAAACGATTTTGATCAAATTTTGTGTTTTCATATTAGTCGCTCGGTTAACCTTTTTTGAATTTGTTCAAGAATTTTGGTTTTCCCTATAAATTACCTCATAAGAGGTAACCAATAAGAATATATACCGATAAAAGAAACCGAACGGAAGGCGTCCTAAAACTAACATTGTGTGGCACACCAACGCTAGCTGAGTACGCTAGTAATATTGTACCTTTCAAAATATTTTCCTTCAAAGAAATCCCGTCCGTACCTTCACTGAATTCGCTTTAAACTCCTGCATCGTGTCAAAACGACTTCATAAAAATAGTATTTTTAATTTATCAATTATCCCCAATTCCCACTGAGCTAAATCAGACGATATGCGTGCAGTGGAGCAGTCTTTTTTGAACTAAACAATAATCGGCACAAAAGCTCTCTTAAAAGACCTTCCTCTACTTCTACCAGCAAATCTTCTTTAGTGTTTGTTAAGAAACTATAAATAATTTGCTACCGCGGCATTTCATTTAGAAATAAAGCTCCGTTGTCAAACTCCGCATAGAAAAGCCTGCTAAAATATTCATAACCAACAATTAAGCGGTCAACTTAGTAGAGAAGAATATATCAATTATACTTGTATAGTGAGGGAAAATGTCGTCTGCCGAAAACGCAAATGCATTTGCACAACAAAGGCGCCATTGATTACTATAATGGTAAAACACCAGAGTTGTGCTGCCCTTTCTCCTTTTCACATCTGTAGACCTTTTGTACGTCTTTATACATTCATTAAAATTTCACAAAAAGTAATCTGCTAGCAATTTACGCCCCGATTTGGCGCAGCTGCAGCTGCCATTACGGGTGTTGGTGGCAGAAATGATGGGAATGACGGAGACGGCCGCCCCGCTCCTTACCGCACATTCATGCTTTGTGCCTCTCGCTTTGCACAAATAATTATTCATTGTCATTATAATTGGCGTGCGGGCGCTAAATGGAATCATAAACAGAGCAAAGTCAGAGGCAAAGACGAGAGCTGGAACGTTGCACGTACGACTACACATGCCCCCAAACGGCAGCATTTTGACAACTTGTGATAAATTTTTGCTCTGGCTCTAACTTGATTATTTGTGAACCACTGTGGCAAGACAATGAGTCAACGTCGGCGCCGTGGAGTCATCGTGGATTCGTCGCTCATATGGTTGATGACGCTGACAATGCTGGCAACGAGGAAGATGAGTTTGCCCCTTTTTGTTGCTCTTGCCCCTGGCACTGGCACTGGCCCTGTCTCTGCCCCTATCCCATTACTTATTTGCTGGCCTTTTTCATTAGTTTTCACATGGGCTGCTATGCTTTGGTTGGGTATAGTCTTGTCTGGTCCGGTCTGGACTGGTGTGCCCTGCTCTGGTGCTGTAGCTGTAGCTGTGCTCTCGTGTACTCTCGTGCTTGGTGACCATTTCCCCATGGACATTGGCTTATATTGTGCACACACATACTGGAATTTTCATTTTATGTCATTTCAATTTTCCTGCCTTCGCTTCGATTCGGTTTTATAGACGCAACGAAAATGAATTGAACGGAAAAAGGGTTAAATTGAAAGATGCAGTAACAGGAACAGCATCAGGAAAAACAAGAACAACTACTCCTATAACGACAACAATGACACTGGACAGCCTTTTTTGGTTGGCGCTACGCAGCTTTGCTTTTCTGCCCTTTTCTTCGGCTCACGCCCTTCTCCCACTCCTTGCTCCTCTTCCCCATTGCCTTCTGTAGAGCTATAGTTCAGTTCAGTTTAGATCATATGTGTGAGTTGTGCCTTTGGGGCTTTGTTGACGTGCCATGAGATTGTTGTTTGTTGTTTTTTATGTGAGCATTTTCTAGTTTTACGTTTCTTTTAGTGGGGACTTGAGGCACAAACAAACCAAACGTTGCACGTATGTATGTATGTATAGTATGTACTGGCTCACTGTCTGGCCATTGTGCGTTAGTCATGAGTAACAAATTACCTGCGGCATGTGAAAAAGTGCAGCCAGTGAGCGCTGACAGCACTGGGCAGCACTTGCAACCGACCGAACAGCGTCTGTCTGTCCGTCCGTCCATCCCCTGTCTATATTTGTGTTGATGAACTGCAAATATTGTTGCATGCACTTGGACATAGACATCAGGTTCGAGCTTGGTCATTGTTTTTGTTGAACAATGCTATACATTTGCAGCACTGTACCAAAATCACAAAACAAAAAAATTAAAAGCAAAACGTATTAAATTTTACTATTTATTCTTCTTTTAATTGCAGGTAAGCTCATTACAATTTGTACAATCAACTTGAAACAGGAACAAAAAAAATCACACACATTGTTCAATTTATTAGCGTAAGTGGTTGTCTACAATTTTAATTAGTTTTAAATGCAATTTAATGCTTTCATATACTTTCATATGTAGTTTTTCCCAAAATGCGGCTTGTTCAGAGGTTTTTCGACGTTGCACTTAAATTAATTCACACACACACTCAAACACACTCACACACACACACACTCACACACCCTAATATAGTTTCCATTTTAAAATAATAAATCATGTGCAAAAGCGACCGATGGTGATAAATGTTATGGCAAATGTTTGCCTGCATAAATTTAGGCCTATCTAAATAGTAGAGTATTGTGTGTGGATATAAATTAGTTGCTGCACAATTAGAATTGCATTAAATATTTAAAATGTGCGCACATATGCTGGCATCTATTTAAACCTAATTCTATTTGACAAACATTAGTGAGCGCAATATTTTGTGTTTCCATTTAACCAGAACACTATGCAGCACATTTTTAGTTCCAACTACTGAAAGCTTCAACATGTTTCCAACATTTAAAGCAAAATACTCTATAATAACAATTTTAATAAATAATTAAATTAAATATGTGACTCAAATGTTTAAACGTTGTTGAGGAATTACAAATGAGTTTACAAAATAGATAGAAACACCCACAAATAGCATAAAAAAGATGTACATCTTCTGAGTTATAATTGCATTAATTAATGAAATGGCAAAAAAACAAAAATACTTGAATGAAGATGTCTTTGATAAAATGTGTTTATAGTTAAGTTTTAAAGAGCAACTGCAACAGAGTTTTCTAGATGTCTTTCTAGATAATGACTTTTCTTCAAAAATGAAATGTTTCATTTCATTTTATTTGCTCCAAACAATTTAAACAAGCAGCAATCATAATTAATAATTTGAAATTATGTTGCATAGTACAATGCTTTTAATTAACTAAATGCCTTCAGCTATTTGCGCTCAATTCATTTTCCAACAACGTTCTGTGTACCGTACTGTCATTAACGGTTTGTCTGTCTATTTA